TGATAATTTTTTTTTATAAAAATAAAAGATTTTACTCTCATTTATTTATTATTATTATTTTATTTTTATATTTAATAATCATTAGTTAAAACCAAAACCAAACTTATAATAACTGAAAATTTGGATAACTGGATCAAAAGCAATATAATTTTGGTATTAGTTTTGCTCTTAAAAATTTTAACCAAAAATTTTTGGTTAATCAAAATCTTGGCTTTAATTAAAACTAAAATCGAAATTTGCCTACCTCGTACATATCAAATTGTGGTAATTAATTTTTTAAAAATATAGTTATTAAACTTATAATATAATATGTTATTATATAATGAAATCTTTTTATTTAAGAATTTATTTATAATGGTCTATAAATTCTTTCATTTAATATCACATAAAAATTGTATATGTGACATTGTAACTATAATATTACTATTAATTTTTTTCAAACTCTAAACTCTTAATTTTTACTCTATTAAAACATATAATATTGTATTTATTTATTTAATAACATAAAAAATTATATATATAAGTGATCAATGTATCATTATCCAAACATAGTGTTGATGGAATTAATTAATCCGGTCTCACTGCCACGTTTCTCACTACCTTTATCTTTCTACTCTCTGACTTTAGTGGCATATATTAATTCCCTTCTTGAAGCTTCGGTCCTTAATTCCTAGCATTTGGCATTCACCATTTCTCTTTATTAGTTAATGGATTGTTGTTGTTTGTACCTTAAGAGTGTATTATTATATTATTTATTAATTGATATAAAAACATAAAAATTATATTAATTATAATAATCGATTAATTTCTAAATAGCTAAAAGTATTAATATCAGTTTTCATATTTCTTTATCACAATTTACATATGTTTCTGTTTAATTAAATATAATTAAGAGTAGGTTGCTTCCCAGGATGAATCGAAATTAGAGAAGTGCTGATGTCCCAACCACCCCGGATCATGCCTCACCAAAAGCCATTTGAATAAAGAGGGGGTAATCATATAAAATAGGAAAAGATTAAACAAGTTATCAGAAGCTCCATGTGAGAGTGAGACATCCCCCTTAGGTTCCAACATCAACATACTGAGACGTTTCAGTAGAGGGAGCCCCCCTGTCCTTTAAATATATATAGGGCATGTACCCAATCCATTGCCCAAGGTGCACTATAATTTCATGTACAGGCTTTTAATATCCCCAAAATATCTTATGTGGCTATGACCAATTGGCCACGATGAAAGCATTGCCTCAATTAATTAATAGAAAATCTAGAAGAAATTAAGTTACTAATGAATATGGAGCATGTGTTCTTTCCCCTTTTCAGCAATGTTGTAATATTG